CAGTCATGTATTTACGGAAGTGTGTTACTGCCACACATATTTTTCTTTTTTTTCGCGTACGTACGTGATAAGTTTCACGTACGTATGTGATAAGTTTCACGTACGTACGTGATAGTTTCACGTATGTATGCGATAAGTTTTCACGTACGTACGCGATAAGTTTCACATATGGACGTACATGTACACGTGTTAGTTTGCTCGTAGTCATATGACGTGACACACTTGTGGAAGTAGGCTATCATACTTATCGTTGCTATAAAGTCACCAAATGTACAACACAACCGAAAGCTCGCATGCTATTCCCATGGTATGTGCTAACACGCACGTGGAAACTGAAACTAAACGGACGCAGTAAAACGTGATATACTGATAGACGTAGTTTTTACGTACGTGAAACTTATCACATAAGTACATGAAACTTATCATGTACGTACGTGAAACTAATAACTTATCATGTACGTACGTGGAACTTACCACGTACTTACGTGAAACTATGGCCAAGTTCGGGCAAGGACTATTAGTCGACTAGTGGTTGATTTGTGACGTACCTTACGCCTGCGCACTGATAGCAACGTGCGAACGTCTCTAGTCAAACGCTGGTCAAAATGTCATCGCAAAACTTCTGGATCCTGGCTCTCTGCTTGCGTTATGAATGCGCGCGGCTATTGGTTACCAGCGAAGCAACCAACCCTAGTAGGCTGGTTCCAAATAGTCGACTAGCGTAGTCAACCACGGTGGACTAGACAGAGTTCGGGCAAACGTTAGTTAACCATTGGTCAACTATAGTCCTTGCGCGAACTTGGCCTATGACGTACGTATGTGAAAAAAATGTATTGAATTGTGTTCTGCAGACTTTGAAAGCTAAACCACTCCACTGGCCACAGCTCAATGGAAATGCCATAAATGCAGCAGTATTAACTGTGGCAGCTTCACCTTCCATAATGATTAACTACCTCATCTGGATCCCGACACTTCAGTGAATACTGTTCTTTCCAATCACAACTTCAGCCCACTCCAGACAAGTACATTGTAGCCCAACAACAGACAGACAATTAAACCAGACCAAGCTCAAATTTGTCACAAGTCCACATGTTACCTACACGCGGGAACAACTTGTTGGACTTAAGTGTTCTCATCAAACCCCTCCTTGGTGAAGTCTTTTAGTTCGTGCGCCAGGAATTTCTGATCATGACATGCGTGATAACTGACATCAATGCAAAACCATTTCATGTTCATCATGCACCCACAAAAATGTTACCAGTGTACTCATGTGCAAACTGGAAGAATTTAGCAGAAGACATGGATACTCTTTCCCAAGATATCCCCTACAACAGTGTTGTACAATATGAGGAAAGGAAACAGCTCTCTACCTTGGTTTAATAGAACCATCATAAAATTGATCAAATGGAAAAGGAGACTCTATAGAGCCCTTTTCACACTTGAACCTCTCAACCCGGGTTGAACTCGACCCTGGACGTACCAAGTGCTGTCCCGGGTTGATTTTTTTTTTATTTTTCAATGTCTCGTTCAACCCTGCATCATTTTTTTCACACTTGTTGGTGTGCAAACCGAGCTTATTCCGCTCGGTTACTACTATTTTGAACCCTGGCGAGAGTTTCAACACGGGTGGAAAATCTCAACCCTGGTGTGGAGCAGGGTTGAGTTCAACCCTGGGCAAAATCAATTTCAGGGTTGACACAGGGTTGGCGCAGGGTTGGCGCAGGGTTGAACATTTTCAAGTGTGAAACTGCCAGGCTGCCTGTTTTCCACCCTGCGTCAACTCCACATCCACCCCAAGATTTGTCTAGTGTTAAAAGGCCTATAGCGTGCCAAGAAACACAACAAATGGCAAGCGCACTGCTTCCAGAAGGAGTGCAAGAAACAAATCAGAAGGGCAGATTGGGATATAAACAAAGTCATCCAGAAAGGCCTCAGTAACAACAACACCAAGCCGTTCTGGAGGTACATTAAAACCAGGCAACAAGACAATGTATTTGTTGCCCCCCTGAAGAGCAAAAGCTCCCTAATCAACGATAGCTCATCCAAGGCAAACATTTTGGTAGATCACTTCAAATCAGTTTTTACTCAAGACGCCCATGACAAGCTTCCCTGGGTGATTAAAATTCTTGATCAACAAATTGGTCGCATTGTCATTCATTTAGCTGGAGTGGCAAAACTCCCAGGAAATTTGATTAACAAGGCTTGCGGACGTGATAACATCTCCAACATCGTTTTAAAAAATTGTGATGTAAACATTTCCCCAGCACTGTCTGTCATCTACCGGAAATCGCTTGACTCTGGCGACCTACCAACAGACTGGCTGAATGTCAACATTATCGTGTGTGTTCAAAAGGGGGATAAACCAGTGTTGGAGTACTTGTACTTGTACTTGTACTCATACTTGTACTCGGGAGTATACACATCCAGTACATTTCTTTTTAATCGATTCCATTGTTCAACCTGGAACGCATTGCTAGCACGATGGCACAGTTGAAGCCTGTTTTATGGCTTAGTCTAGTTCCCACCTCCCCAATGTTACTAACATTCGTAAATCGGAAGTGGCCAAGCTCATGCTTCTTATGTTCGCTCATCTCTTCACAGTTTTTCAATATGTAGGACTATTTGTGTACAATTGAAATAACAAACAACCAGCAATGGAGGTCTTGTTTTTTTGGTTGGTTTTGTAAATTTTGGGTTTTTCTTGTGTACTAAACTGAGTTTGTTGTCTGAAAAAATGTTTCTTCAAAGTAGCCAATACTTCAGGTGTCTTTTTTGTTTTAATGGTGAAAGCAAAAAGTGCCAATTCATTAATTATTTGATGAATTTTGTTTTATTTTTTATTTGTTACATTGTTTACAATAATAAAATGTTGTTTAGTGTTAACCAGTTGGTAAAGGAGAAAATATTGCATGTCGTGTTTGTTTTATTTAATTTAATTTATTAATTTATTTATTTATTTTATTTATTTATTTTTTACTTTTTTGTATTATACTCGAACTCGGACTCAGACTCAGACTTAGCCACTTGGACTTGGCCCAGTTCTCGGCCTTGAATGTACTCGTACTCAGTGCTTTGGACTCTGACTCATCAGAGTGTACTTGGACTTGGCCCTGGACTCGGCCCCTAAAGTACTCGGAGTACTCGCCTTTGAGGACTCGACTCCAACACTGGGATAAACACCTTGCTGAAAACTACCGGCTTATCTCCCTAACGTCTGTGATATGCAAACAGCTTGAGCACGTCATCTACAGGCAAATCATGGTACACCTGGAAAACAAAACATACTGACACACCTAAGCCATGGATCCAGCAGTGGCTACTCTTGCGAAACCTGGCTCATTGTTACAGTTGATGATCTACTCAAATCGTTTGACACAAAAAAGCAAGTCGACATACCTGTCCTAGATTTTTCAAAAGCATTCGACACCATACCCACAGAAACCCCCCTCCCCCACAAACTACACACTTGATATGGCATCAGTGGCATGCTACATTAGTGGCTAACCTGCTTCCTCACACAGCGCAACATGAAAGTTGTACTGGAGAGTGTAGCATCAGAGGAAGTACCGGTACCAGTTGGAGTCCCCCAAGGAACAGTGTTTGGACAATTTCCATATTGACGAAAACCTTGGTCAATCTGACTCGGTGAAGAGGTTTAAAATTCTCCTCGGCCACGAACCTCGCTCGGTGTAACATCCCAGTGTGCACCCTCTCTCTCCGTTGCGTTAATGACTGCATAGGTTTCTGGAACAATACAGATACCCATACAGATATTAAAAATTTTTTTTTTTTACTTTTGCACATTCCGCTCTTGAGATATGGCTTAAGTGCTCAAAAACTGAAGTAACCATTAGAAATGACATGATGACGTCATCATGACATCGCCTCAATTTTTACCTATAACACATCCTGGTCTACCTTCACACCAAGTTCACTATGGGGGCTTTACAATGACGTTCTTTTATGTCAGAAGTGCCTGGTTGAATAAAACATGTACAAAGTCTATGGGATTTATGGTAAAACAAAAAGAAAGAAAAGAATATCATAACAAAAACAAAGACTTTTTTTGAAATATGTGGAAAAGCCAATAATAAGATTATGTACTGCATTTTTGTTTATAAACATGATAAAAAGGCATCAGTGTTGCCTTAAGACAAGTGAAATATCTCCACTTCTGGTCATCCAATTTAAGAAATCAAAAAGTTTTTAATTTCTGAAAGCCAGCCTAACATCTTGAAAGTAAGGCTAGGTTCAGTGAGAGCCAGAAAAACAATTACCTAAAGAGCCTACACGTGCCGGGGTACCTTTAGCACACATCACTTAATTTTAATATTAACTTTATGTTTTGTAGTTTTAAACAGTATCTCTCTGTAGAATGCAATTTTCTTGCACAATTTTTAGTTGGAGGCATAACATTGCGGTTTAGCGCATTCACAGTGCAATGTAGTGATCGCAGTCTTTACTTTGAAAACCCTGCCCTCTATCTTCCGAATGTCTAAGAATCAGTAGGCCATAAATATTTACACCTGGCAGTTACATGATACACGTCTCGCTTGGTACAGTTCACGTGACTGTACAGGTGAATGTATGCAACCTATAGCCTGGAGCAAATTGATTGCTTGAGAGGTCAAAATCTAATTCCTGGGTCAATTGGCATCCATGCATATACATTCTTATTCGATCAAGAAGATTTTGACACGATTTTCTGATTTTCAATTGAGTGTAACATTTTAATAACAATTGTTTGAAAACCGGAACAAAGAAAGAAGCGTGAATTGATCTAGCAAACGAAAGATATCCCCATTGTAATAATGAATGCTTCCCCAGCAGTACGGGTGGGCTGTCCATTGGCCCTCCATATAGAAACATAATTTGTTCCCAATTCATATTAGTCAAGCTTGTCGTTAAACATGTCGAGGGCAGGAATTAATGTAAAAACAGTACACAGCGAGTGCAGGATGTCAAAAGTTCACTGTTATTTCTGTATCTATTCTGTTCAGATTGGAAAAGATGAGCATTGAGGGAAGATTTGTCGATGAAACTTCTTTTATTAGAAGTATGAAAGATGTCCGTGACGATTCATCAGAGACCAACCTACTAATTATTGGTCATGTAGATGACAATCCTCACCGCCTCGATGTGGTGCACACAGGTAAATTTGAAATGGATTTCATTAAGCTGCTGTTACCACAGCAGATCTCCATAGAGCAAAAAAATATATTTATGATGTTTACTAGATGCTCATCGTGTAGGTACATTGTAGTTGCTTTACTTTTTGAAATTTGTCAAAATCTTTTATGTTCATTGTTTTTATGTTAACTATTGACACTTGCCTCACTTAAGGTGCCTGTGTTCATTTTTAGAGTGCATTTCTACATGTATGCCCTTTCTTACACACCTGTGGTCTTTTGTCAATACTGGAACTGCAGCTGTTCCGAATTTATGCAAATTGGGTTTTTGTGAAGTCCTAAACTTACGTGTGAGACATCTCCCCAGTTGTGAAGGGATTGTTACTTATTGCTCATACTGAGCACAGTGCTTGAGATACTGATTTTTATATGGGTGATAATAAATCTAATTATCAATGCACAGACAGAAAGGTTTGGAGAAATATATGTGAGAATGGGGGAAAAAATCATTTGCATCTGTTTTTGTTGTTGTTGATTTTTTTTCCACATTACCTTATAATTGTGATAAAATAGTTGATTCTTTGGATGTTTTAAATTTTCTTGAAAACCAGTGGCCATTTTCATAACAGCTGCATCCACCATGAACCATGTTAGAACTTAAAACTATATGTTATTTCTCCCTCAGCTCCTGCCGTAACAAATGCACATATGGCGTGCTGTATGCCCAACTGTCCTCTTGTACAAAGCGCTTGCCTCCCCTTCAATGTAAAAGACAACAACAGTTCTTGATCAATACATGTACCAGTTAAGAAGATAAATCACACACAATTCAGGTCTGTCATTTGTTCATCTTCAAGTAAATAAAGATTGCTATAAGTATAATTATTCATGCCAAGAACCGTATCCCAGTGGAAGCACTACTATTAGGTACCGGTATTAGGGTTCATTCATTCACTCAGTTTACATTTATTTCCATTCTGCACAGCACAACTGAAATATACAAGAAATAACAATATAATTTTAAGGAAATATACAATTGTTCCACATACATGGAGGCATATTCTGTAAGGGTTTGTTTGTGCTTCTGCTTCGGTACTGCCAACACCCTCTGGAGGGTTATTAACACACAGTATGGAAGACGAAAAGTGGCCATCTGCTTTTTTGCTTTCAGAAAAGCAGATTCTACATTGTTGTAAAAATGCATTTTTCAAATTTTCTACTTTCCTGCTACCTGAAAAGCAGATTTTACTTTTCCTCCATTTCCTGGCGGACGAAAAGTGGCCATCTGCTTTTCTGCTAGCAGAAAAGCAATCCACAGACCGTTTTACACGCGACGAAGACATGCTCACGCCTCACATAATATGTGATTGACACCGTGGAGATCTGTATCCTGAACTCCACGGTGTCAATCACATATTATGTGAGGCGTGAGCATGTCTTAGTCGCTCGTAAAACGGTCTGTGGATTGGAGTAAGCCTGGCATAATCTGTGATGACGTACGGCGGAGGCGGAGTCACTTGGAATCGTCCATTTTGGGTGGGTACTAGAGTGACATAGTTGCATTCAGGAACGTTGTAATCTGCTCAGTTTGTAGCAGAAAAGCAGATAGCCCCTTTTGGCCGCCTAAGTAAAATCTGCTTGTCCGGTATCCAAAAAGCAGAAAAGTTGAATGAATGCACAGTTGTTTTCAAAACGTTCGATCCACTTTTCTGCTTTTCTGAGAGGAGGAAAGCAGATGGTAACTTTTCGGCCACCTCAGTAAAATCTGCTTTTCAGGTGGCAGACAAGCAGAAAAATTCATTGTCACTAAACGTTCAATCTGCTTTTCTGATAGCAGAAAAGCAGATGGCCACTTTTCGTCCGCCAGGAAAAGGAGGAAAAGTAAAATCTGCTTTTCAGGTAGCAGAAAAGTCAAAAAATTCATTGTACAAAAATGTAAAATCTGCTTTTCTGCTTTTCTGAAAAGCAGAAGGCCACTAGTTGAGAGGGTGAACACGGTTTAAGAGGTCCTTAACACCCAAAGTTTACAAATCTGATTTGAATTTAGTCAGCAGTATTGGCTTCCTGTGTGGATTGTGGACGACAGTGTTGTAGAGACCACTTTTTGCTGGTCTCGGTGTCGGGAGCTGTGGTCTAGGTCTTGGTCTTGATATTTTGGCCGGTCTCGGGTCGAGACCGGCAATATGTAGCATTTACAGCTCGCTCGTTTACTTTGTGTTTACTTCATTCAGTACCGTTCATAGTTAAAAAACATTTGCTAGCCTGTAGATCATTGTTGTCAACCTAAGCTTGTTAACGAATCGTTATATTTCGTGGTTGGTTCGGACTGCACGTTGGAAAGTCCTGGATCCCCAAAGTAGTCGTACTGCTGCAATTCAATATTTTGCAATATTTTCTAGCTCCAAATTTTATCCCCCTGGCTGTAAGCTGGATGGGGCATTGTGATTCTGTGTGTGCACCCATGTACAAGCATTACATTCACTGTGTGGGCTTCTGAACAAAAGATGTCCACATAGACCAGGTAGCAGCGACGTTGTGTGGACTTGCCCATGTCCACACAATGTTTCCCCCTCTCTGGAAAACAGGTTTAGAGGCATTTTGGGGTTAGGTTTATCTGTGGCAACATGAAGAGAAACACTAAAGGGAATCATAGAAACAAATGGGTTGAAAGAGTTTTCACAGTGTGAATAAAACAAAATTTTCACTGGTTTTTCTTAACTACACGAAAACAAAAGAATGTCCACACTACGTATGTAACGTAAACATGTGTACGTGTTCTACATAACCCCAGAGGATGACATACAAAGAGAGAACAACAGATCCTTTCAGTCCTTGGGAGTTGGGTCTTTTGTTCAAAACGGTCCTCTGTAGTAGGTTGTGTGCTTAGTCTATGGGAGAGTGTTATATTACAGGGACGAAGGGAAACACAAAGCATTGTCCTCGAGAGTATACCGGTAGTTTTGGTTAGGTTAACTCTTGACAGCACGATAACTTGAGAAAAACTTTACTAGGAACTTGAAATTTGATTTGTAGGTTGTTCTTGGTAGTCTTAGGAGGCCTATTGCTTTCGGGCTAACAGGTCAAAGGCCAAGGTCACTAGTACTAAAACAATAGAAATCTTCCATTTTGTGTGAGGGACACTGACAAGTATCCATACTAACCAACTGTGTAAAAATTGCTAGCATGCCAGGGGGATCGCGCAAGTTTCACTTGCAGTATATTTTAAAATCAGGTTTACAAGTCTTGGTAGATGTTCAGTCCTATTATTTTTTTGTTATTTATTATCCGTGGTCTCAATCTCAGTCTCGGTCTCGGACCATATCGGTCTCGGTCTCGGTCCGCCTTGAAGTGGCTGGTCTCGGTCTCGGTCTCAGTCTCAAAACTTCAGGTCTCGGTCTTGGTCTCGGTCTCGGACTGTCTGGTCTCGACTACAACACTGGTGAAAGAAGGTTTCACTCTGGGATTGTTCGTGCAATGAGGAAATATTTGAAGCAGTCCTGTTTGGTGTGAAGTGGAATTAACGTAGAATTAGGTGTGCAACCCCTAGTTGACCTGTTAGATGTTTTGTGTAGTTTGTCATCCTGGAAAGCTACCAGTACCATGCTATTTATGGCCTTGTGTAGAAAAGTTAAGCTGTTAACTGCCTGGTGTTCTTCCAGAGTTGACTATAGTCAAGTTTTTAATCTCCCTGGCTGTAAGCCGGTGGGGGATATTGCGATAGCGTATTCCTTCTGTTGGTACCAGTACGTATGCAACGTCATCGGTGAATCGAGGTCGGAAACTGAATCGAGGACTCCTTGGTTGGAAAACGTGTACAAAACCAATGAGAGCTGTTGCAAAAAAGTTAAAGGAAAAGGGAAGAGGAACAAAAGAAAATCCTTTATTTTCACCATAAACAAACGTGTATATATGTTCTTGTTCTACATACATGTAACCCCCGAGGACAGACACACAAAGGGAGAACAACAGATCCTTTCAGTCCTCGGGAATTGGGTCTTTTGTTCAAAACGGTTCTTGATCTTGATAGTTTTAAGAATCCTATTCCTTTTGGGGCCAACAGGTCAAAGTTCAAGGTCACTATTGCTGAAACAATAGAAATATTGTCAGCACAACATATTGAGAAATACTTTACTTAGGAATTTGAAATTTGGTTTGTGGGTTGTCCTTGGTAGTCTTAAGATGCCTTTTGCAAAGGTCAAGGTTACTATTGTTGAAACAATATAAATATTGTCAGCGTGACACATTGAGAAATATTTTACTTAGGAATTTCCGCTGCTGACTCTGCTGGTTGAGGCATCTCTGTCTGAGGTGCTTGTTAATCCAATTATAATATTAGGATTTTTTTAACCTTTGTTGAATTTCAAGTGTTTTGTGGTGATTATCGTAGCTATCAAGGGCTATATGTAAGTCTCGTACTTGTAGCAAAAATCGCACAACACACCGCCATACTCGCGCTTATAATCGGATCGTTACTCAAGTTGTTGGGGAGTTCTTCTTCAGAGTCTAAGTGATTTGGTATCCTCGACGGGTGTAGCCAGACCTACGAGTCTCAAAAACATACCTAAAATATAGTTTCCAAACGTAGTGACAAATTTAGCTTCATATCTCTGGGTAAAGATTTTCAAGTTCTTTATTGTGGAGGCTTTCGAGATTTTTCACGGTATACTCTTTTCCTAAATATTTTTTTGAGTCTCCAGCCGCTACTAAACCGCTACTAAATGCTTTTTGCATTTCAGCCAATTTCACATCTGACAGTTTTGTCATAAGAATTTTGTTTATAGTCGGAGTAGCGAGCTTGTCTTTAACTTTTGGCCAAGCTTTATCGTCTGCTTCGTACTCCTGTTGAATGTCACCCAATAGTTCGTCATTTGACGAACTATTTTGTTCACCTTCCAACAGAAGTCGTTTGAGTTCAGTTTCTGTAGCTGTGTCATCAGACTCTGAGTTGGTGACGGAGTCAGGAACAACCATGACTGATTTAAATCGTTTGGCTTTCGGCTCGGGCACATAAGTGCTCGAGGAGCTCAGCTTGCATTCATTGTTATATCCTTTGTTAGCTTCCTCCAGGAATTCAGTCATTGTGTCAGTTGTGAATTGTGCAAACCCCGCTCTCATTGCTTGTGTTAAGGTGTTATTTAGCTTGCTCGGCTATGCCCTGTAAATGGCTGACTGACTGAGGTTGCATTAAGGGAATTGTGTTCATGTTTAGACAATTTTGTCTTACTTTACCCTTCAAAGTCTTTTCCCCCGCGGTTTTCATTGGTTTTTAAACTTGGTTTTCAGCCATCTTCCATCAATCATGTCCTTGGGTGCGGAAATCTGTCCTGACGGTGTTGGGTGTGGAGACAAATCTGAAAACTCCCCGAAGTCCAAAACACTGTCAAGAATTTCGTATGCCATCACTAATTAAAGCAGTAGGCCTACAGACAGACGTGCTAAATCTATAATACGATACATTTATAGGCATTGGCCTATTCACATACGTGAAGAAAGGCTGGCTGGTGAGCGCTATCTCACGTAATCTCTGGAGTTATGTCATAATAGTGAGGTAGAATCAGTATTTCATAGTCCTAAATTCACAACGCACTGGCCTCGAATGCATCTGTGTGTCATTGCGAAATAAGCATGACACACACGCCAAACTTCATAAAAATATTTGTTTACGTCTTATACCCTTTTCCCACTACAAAGTGCTTAACCCTGAGTTATGTATTTATGCACGATTTTCTGTATGCCCCGCGGCCAACAGGCCAGGCTACCTTGTGCATGCATACTGCGTGTTTTTTGTTTTTTTAACCCGAAGAAAACGGAATTTCCAATTTGAAGAAAACGGAATTTTGATTTTAGAAAACGGCAAATGCCCGTGAATGCCCGTGGATGTCTGTGTTTTCCCACTACAATGCGTACCCCGGGGTTCGGCCGTTAACTCCGAGATTGCACTCATAAACTGTGGTCGCTGGCAGGGTTTACGAACCCTGGGGTAAAGACCGATTATTTTGTCTTAACCCGGGACAGAAAAAGAGCAGTGGGAACGCTCGCGCCGCCCCGGGGTATCTCGGGATTTAGGTTCACCGTTACCCCCGAGATAACCTGGAGATTCGGTAGTGGGAAAAGGGTATAACTCACGAGCTGGACACCCTACAAGAGGGGTGTTTCCAAAAAATATGAAGTAAAATTGTTGAACAAAATCATTGGAAATTTTTAATTTTTGACTTGTATTGACTTTTGGATCCAAAAGTTGTGTTTTTTTTTACCCCCCCCCCCCAAAAAAAGAACACTTTTGGCTCAGGTAGTTATCAGCATCCAAATTCCAACCAGTCTTAAACACACAGTGTTTAACACCTGCCAAGCACACATTTATTCCCTTACAAAAGATCTTGATTTTAGACTGAAGGCAGTTCAGTAAGAATTTGTGATCAACCATATCAAAAGCAACACTAAGATCGAAGAGTACGATTAAAGTAACATGTTGATTACTGATCTTCATAATTATGAATATCATTCTTCACTTTCAGTAAGGCACATTCATGATTTTTTTTCTAGCAGGCTGACTGAAGCAGTGGATACAATGAGTTAACAGTCATGAATTTGTTCACACACAGCTCTTTCAGTTAACTTTGACATGTACTGGAGATTCCTTAACCCTAAAGGGGCCGGGGGGGCGGAATCCGCCCCCCCCCCCCTCAACATTTTCTGCGATAGCCAAGTGTTGTGACTTTTTAGCCTCGAGCTTTGCGCATCTTTTGATACCAAAAACATAAAAATCGGACCACGGGTTGCCACGTAGCGAAAAATTTTCCGGCGCTATGCGCCGTAAAAACTGAATTTTCGCATATACGTAGTGTATACGGCTGAGAGATGGTAAAAATAACCCGGCCCCTTTAGGGTTAAGTAAAGTACTGAAGATTACTCAAGTTAAAAATGTGTTTCCATTTATGTTTGTTTGTTTGTTTGTTTGTTTATTATTGGACAACAGGTATTGTGACACAAGTGTTGTGAAGTTGTATCTCAAGAAACAGCTGCGACCATCAATTCTTTTGATGAAAGTTCGGCATTTCTTTTTTGTTTACATTACATGCAGGATCAGATGTTTCACAAATGAGTGAGCTACTGAAAGACAACCAAGTGATGTATGTCTTAGCAAAGCTTACCACTACATATGACCTGTCAACTACTGTTAAATTTGTCTGTGTTCACTGGTGAGTACTTCAGCATGAGAGGGGTTCACATGGGAAAAGATACGTGTATGCATACTTTCGTCAACCATATAATTGTCTCACATTGTGTATATGCTGACGCATAGTTATCAGAAGCGTTACCAGCTTCTGACAATAGGGAAAATTTACTATAATACTATGCATTTCACACTGACGCATAACAAATGAAATATCCATACAGCGGATAGCAAGTTACACACATGTCGTCAGTGTTTTCACGAAGAGCCACATATGTGGATTTTGAAGAAAAAGTGTTTTCGATATAATTGCAAAAAAGATTCTGTTATTTAAAAACTGCAAAAAATACACTTTGCAACAACTTTGTTGACCTACATGAATCTATGAGGGCTGAATTTTTACGTGAACCTAGTAATTAGAATGATGATAGTAGTTAATTATTGAAAATTAACTAGTAAAGATATGTGTCTCTCTGTGAAAACGAATATTCAAGTTTCCTACATTTTGGCCCGTTCTGTTCAATGTGTTTTTGGAAGGGGCATGTGTGTACACATGCGCAGCTGCGAATGTAACAAAGATATGTGGCTCTTTGTGAAAACGAAAATCTCAGTTGACCTACTTTTACACCTTTCGTACAATAGGCTTTGTCCGCATTTTTCAAGGACCAAAAATGTATGTGGCTCTTCGTTATGCCCCTTGCATCATTAATGTAATTTGGAAATTAAGGATATTTTGCTCGCAGAAACATGTCAAAATGGTTAAGTACAATGTTTTAAAGCAAAATAGTGAAAAATGATCAAAATCTAAATTTTTTAATTTTTGACATATGTGGCTCTTTGTGAAAATGGTGACGACGTATAGTATGACATCACAAGACCACACAAACTGATCATATCTGGCGGTCTAACCATTTCTGTTCACTTTGTGAAACTTCTTTATTCAGTAAGTTTGTTGAACAGCACCCGATTTCATCAAACTCTTTGTAACTTACGATGCATCGCAGCAATGCGACGCGTCGTATCTCTACGATGCGCGACATGCCCTGCGATCCATTTCATGAAACACGTCGTAAGTGCACAAGTGTACAACAACGTTATAGCACAACTCGATGACTGTTTTATGTATATAGTCAGTGTACAGTAAATAGTCGTCTGATATTCAACAAAGAGTCGTCGGATCTCAGTTTGAAATTTGTTAAAACGTAGAACAAAATGGTGGCCGTGCGATGCAATTTTGAAGGAAAACAAGCTCTCAGTGGACTGTGTAGCTACTTTAAAATTTCAACTGCAATATTCCAGTCTAATTCATAATTATTCAATGAAATTTCTATTTTTTATCTTTTCACACATTGCCTCGGTATTATAATCTCGTTTTTGTCATGTTTATGGCATTAAACTGGCTTAGAAAGGGACTCTTCGTTTTTTGCAATGACCACTAGACACGTCGTAACTTTCGACGTGTTTTAAGCCGTTGTCAAGAAACTTACGAGGCGTTCAACACATCGCAACTTTCGTGAAATAGATGATACAACACGTCGCGAGTTGCGACGTGTTACACGTCGTAACTTGAGTTGTGACGCGTCGCAGCGCTTCGTGAAATCGGGTGCAGTTATGTTCCAAAATTTGTATTGCGATTCGCTTTGCATATTTACTTGTGGGAAGTGGTTTTGGGTATCTTTTTGCCCAAAATTGCATGCGAACACAAGTTTTCATCTTCTTTCAATTGAACAACAAATTACACAGAATGCAGATTCGGTTACTGCGTCCCCCATAGTTTGTGTACATGTATCTGCCGCGTTTTTGCCGGGAAAAAAAATCGTCTCATCTTGTTGTGAACCATAATATTTTGGAATGGCGAATTGGCTTGTTCTATTTATGTGATTTTGGATTTTGTCTACTAGTACCATTATTTACCTGATACATGTCTAATTTTGAGAGTTAAAAAAAAATGGAGTGTGATAATCTATACAAAGTCAAACAATCATGATGTCATCACTTGCAATTTAGCATACAGACTGCTATCAAAGTTATGTGTTGGTGATGTAGGAGATGACAGTCAAGTTGTCTAAATGAAACTGAACAATCTCTCTGTGGAATTAGATCAGAGCTTTTTCCTCAGCCAGTAATTCCAAGACATTGATATGGAGAGCCTGTTCTACGGGAGACCAAGTCCCGGCGACTGAATCCTCTCCTGGGTGTGCTCCCCAGCCATCATTTGAAGTGTCTGTTGTAAGCATCAATGTCACTTGGAGAAGAGGAAACCTTCGACAGGATGACAGATTGCGTGGGTTGCTCCACCACATGATATGATGGTAGACCAGGGGGAGCACTGTATGGCACAAGCTTGGACAGTAGGTCGCGTTTTTGCCTGTAGTAGGCAAGTAGATGCAGCTGTATTGGCCACATGTACAACCGGCAGTAAGGGGTCATATCTACTATACTGGCCATCTGGCCCAAGAGGGAGAGCCAAGCCACTGCTGGGGCTGTGGAGGCTGACATCAGCAGAACTGCACATTCCACCAGATTCCCCACTCGTTCCTGAGTGGGACAGGCTATGCCGCAGGATTGATCCAGTTCCACCCTTAGAAAGGTTGGGCTAGTTGATGGTATGGGATGTGACTTTTCGTTGTTAATGAGAAATCCCAGACTGTTTACAATTTCCATTGTTGCAGTGTCTGCTTGACGTGTCTGACTTTCAGACATGTCCACAATCAACCAATTATCCAGATATACGAAAATCAGAATGCGGCTTTGACTGAGGACGGCTGCCACAACCTTCCCTATCTGCGTGAAAACCCTTGGTGCGGTTGCAAGTCCGAACGTAAGAACAATGAATTTGTAGGTTACTCCCGTATACAGGAATCGGAGGAATGTTGAATGAGTGTCCCGAATGGGCATGTGGATGAAGGCGCTCTTTAAATCTAAAGTTGCTGCCCATGACTGAATGTGTAGGAAATCCAACACTGTGCGAAGTGTTTCCATCTGGAATCGTTTTGGTCGAATAAACCTGTTGAGCAGACAAAGATTCAGGATGGGACACCACTCTCCAGGATTCTTCTTCGGAGTTAAAAAGAATGTGGAGAAGAACCTTATGTTGGACTCTTCCCGAGGTACTTTTCGTATTGCACGTTTCTGGAGGAGAGATAAAATTCGGACTCTAGTGCCCGGCGGTAGGTGGAATCGGAGGGCACTGGAGTGGGGGACAGATCGTGCTAGACGGTGGGGTGCTTGTGCATTTCAGGCCGTATCCGAGAGATACGAAATTGGAGCCCCCCCCCTTTTAGGGTTAACTGGACAGTGTTTCATAAAATAGTTGTGTACCTGACCAATCTGCGTTTGTAACAACAAACAAGAATCTCTAGTCTTTCTGTCTTTCTGTCTTTTTTTCGGACAACCCTCATCCGGAGTGGTACATATTACTCTGACGTCACAATGAAGTCATCGGGTGTCAAATTACAGGCGATTTTTGGTCAAAATATGACAATTGTCCGTCAATTATAAACCATGAACAAAATGAAAGATCATGTTCATACGTTGTGATCTGATGGACAATACCTCGATGAACTTCATCAGGTATCAAATTAGAGGCGATTTAAGGGCAGATTTTGACAAAATAGTTTGACCTGTATCTCTTGAACTAAATAGAGTATCATGTTCATTTTTTCATGAGGTTGTAGACGGTGCCTTGAGTAACATTTCTTGTTCCCGGGCACAAAACTGCTTGACCTTCACTTCCTGTATACCAGAAGTGCATTAGAAATTGAATTTAACTCTAAAACGGAAGCATTTTTCTACAGACAAATACATTATGGAATTGTTAAGTGAGGAATGCCAAACACAAAAACACTATTTTGACATCATCCTACTAAAGGGCGCCCTCTAGCATCAAAAACAGTCTTTTAAAATGTTAAGACCCGCAATCAAATTTTTAAGAAATTGCCCCTACATATCTTGTGAGCAACCACAAATGAATTTGCAAGGTTTCATAATAATGACGTCATCAGACCAAAAGTTACTGTATGGAGAATTTAATAATGATCAGTTTATTTTAAAATTAAATCCATCATAATGATCCTGCTTCATGACTTAGTTCCTTGCCCAACAAAATGACATCTGTTACACTTAATATTGATCTTTTGCTTCCAAATACTGTGACGTCATCAAACCGGAAGTTGGGTGTTATTATTAAATACACTTAAAGGGAAAATACAACATTTGCAAACATCAAAAAACAAAACTACCAAAGTCTACTTCGTTCATCTTACCCCAATAGCAACTACATTTGCATATTTCCCTTTGCCGGCAGGCCAATTCGCTAAGCGTTTAATTGCACAATAATGCACCTCTTGGTGCCCACCCATGATGCCATGCGGCGTTGCCGCTATATTGAATCTACCTCTTTTCTCTTAGCGACGCAGGCGAGATAGACATGTTTTTTAGTCTATCGAATTCAACGTAGCTAAGTATTAGTTTTTCTAGAAAACTAAATTCTGAGTTTTCATCAGTTGTTCAAGTATTTCTACAATTGTATTAAAACATTAAAGTGTGTTTTGGGCCACTTGTGGTGCGTCTTATATCTGGACTGAGGTGCGGCGTTCCAATTGTCCAGGGGCTGGAGGCTTAATGCACCGTATATCGGCGCGGTATTCAGACTAGTTGTTGTCCGTGGTTTTTCGTCGTCTAGTCCTCAACGGGCGAAGGGCGGCCGGTTATTACCCAAGGACTTAGCCTCAGGACTACCACGAGTAGTCCCGCCCATCGTTCCGCCACGGCGGACTTGGTCAATAGCGGATAGGAACAGAGTTAATCCTCCCGGGGGCCACCACATGTAGTCCTGCCCGATGTGAAATACTTCTTCTCGGGGCACGGTCGTTCCCGCCACGGTGGGCTTGGTCAATAGCAGACAGGAACAAAGTAAATCCTTCTGGAGACCATACGACTTTAGTGCAACGATAGGCCGTACTTATCGAAGCCCACAACAGGTGGATACGAGTTACTCACTCGGGGCTCGACCCACATTACCAC